AGGCTCAACATCCATCTTTACCAGACGAATCAGAGTCAGTTATCGATGTGTTACCAATTGAAGCCATGGTTGAAGGTAATGAAGTTGTTGAAGTTCATGAAAGTGCATATGAATATGCTATACAAGAACCAAAAGCAATAATTAAGACCATTGCTCAGTTTGTTCTAAAAGGGCTACATTACAAAGAGGATCATGATCCTTCTGTTCTTGAAGTGAATGAAGACACATCCTCAGAAGATAGTCAAGTTTCTTTTGAAACACCACTTGGAAGCCCTTCAGTGGACCATGTCTCCCCTAATGAAGCCTTCGCTCAATGGAATGAGTCAACTGAGTCAATTGAAGAAAACGTAGAGTCACACTTAAAGGATGCTAAAAATTCTCCCATTGATTCATCAGGAAGCTTTTCTCTAGTTGATATGTCGTATATGGAAGGCATTGAAGAAAATGAAAGTGCTGAGGTTGTGTCATTTTTGAAGGATGATAAAGAGGTTTCTATTAAAGGTGTTCTTAAAGAACATTTTGAAAAGAAAGATGGAGATTCCTCACATGAACAAGAAGCAATGGTTAACACAATTGATAGTGTTGAAGTTGATGAAAAAGAGGTGTCTATGGAAGGTGGTCTTGAAGAACAATTTGAAAAGAAAGATGGCGATTCCGCTCATGAAGAAGAAGCATTGGTTAACACAATTGACAGTGCTAAAGTTGATGAAAAAGAGGTGTCTATGGAAGGTGGTCTTGAAGAACAATTTGAAAAGAAAGATGGCGATTCCGCTCATGAAGAAGAAGCATTGGTTAACACAATTGACAGTGCTAAAGTTGATGAAAAAGAGGTGTCTATGGAAGGTGGTCTTGAAGAACAATTTGAAAAGAAAGATGGAGATTCCTTACATGAAGAAGAAGCATTGGTTAACACAATTGATAGTGTTGAAGTTGATGAAAAAGAGGTGTCTATGGAAGGTGGTCTTGAAGAACAATTTGAAAAGAAAGATAGAGATTCCTCACGTGAAGAAGAAGCATTGGTTAACACAATTGATAGTGCTGAAGTTGATGAAAAAGAGGTGTCTAGTGTTCTTGAAGAACAATTTGAAATGAAAGTTGGAGATTCCTCACATGAACAAGAAGTAATGGTTAACACAATTGATAGTGTTGAAGTTGTGTCAGTTTTGAATGATGAAAAAGAGGTGTCTATGGAAGGTGATCTTGAAGAACAATTTGAAAAGAAAGTTAGAGATTATTCATATGAACAAGAGGAAATGGTTAACACAATTGATATGTCACTTCTGAAAGAGAAAGAGGCTGAAGATCTGTCTACACCAATTGAGTCAGTTACTGAAATGAATGTAGAGACATCTATAAAAGATTCTCAAGATTCTTTGAAAGAACCATTGGGAATCCCCTCTATGGATGATGTGTCTCCTCTTGAAGGCGTAGTTCGGGGAAATGAATTTGGTGAAATTGGTGAAAGTGAAGAGATCTCTAAAGAAGGTGTTGTTCAAGATCCTTTAGAAGAGCCAATTGGAAATTCTTCTCAAGAGCTAGAGGAAATTGTAAAGACAGATGATCAGTTGGATTTGAAGGAGATAACTTTGAAAGAGACTCAAATTCCTTCTGTACAAGATGACTCAGTTATCGAAGTCATAAAAGATGTTGATTCTCTCAAGGAGCCACTAGGAAGCTCTTCAATTATGGAAGAGGATGGTGATATGACCATGAAAGGTGTTCTTCAAGATCCTTTCAGGGAGCTAATTGGATCTTCTTTACATGATCATTTAACTCTTGAGGGGTTACATTTGAAAGAGGAGGCTGAAGATCCTTCTGTATTAGCTGACTCGGTTATTAAAGTGAATGTTGATAAATCCATTGAAGATGCTCATGATGTATATGAAACGCCACCAGGAAGCCCTTCTGTGGACCATGTGTCTCCTGTTGAAGGCTTTGAAGCAAACATAGATCACTCTTCCATGGATGCATTGGGAAGCTTTTCTATGGCTGATGTGTCTTCTATGGAAAGAGTTGTTGAAGGAAATGAATCTACTGAAGTTGATGAAAAGTCATTGGTGTCCACGGAAGTTGTTCATAAAGAACCTTTTAAAGATCCAGTTGGACCTTCTACAGATGAACTACAAACAATGGTGAAGACATTTGATCAATCATTTCAAGATCCATCTCTACAAGGTGAGTTAGATTCTGAAGCAAATATAAAAACATTCTTGAAAGGTAATCAATATTCTTTCAAAGAGCCACTGATAAACTCTTTTCTGGATTATGTGTCAGGAAATGTTCAAGAAAAAGAATTTACTGAAGAAAGTGAAGATGCAACAATGGATAATCATGTTGAATCAATTAAGAAGGAGAATGAAGACTTATCCTTAGAAAATCTTCTTGAAGTACCTTTTCAAAAGCCATTTGGAGATTCTTCACATGAACAAGATGCAACAGTTAACATAATTGATAGGTCACTTGTGAAAGAGATACCATTAAAAGACGCTGAAGATCCATCTGCAACAGTTGAATCAGTTACTGAAAGCCCCTCTGTGGTTGATGTGTTTCCTATTGAAGGAAACGAATTTAATAAAGTTAGTGAAACTGCATGTCATGATTCACCAACCATGGTTAATCATGTGGTGTCAGTGGAAAGCTCTTCTCTGGTTGATGGGTCTTCTGTTGAAGGTGTTGGTCAACGGAATGGTCAACGGAATGAGATGCTTGGACTAGTAAGGTCATTGTTGGAAGAGATTCGTCGAATAAGGGCATTTTATGAAGAGGGTCTGCGTCAAACTACCAAAATAGATCTCCAAATGCTTGAAGTTTTGGAAAAGTTTGATTCAACGAGATAATTTGAGTTAGTTCTCTTTTGTGCTAAAGTTTGTATTTTACCTTCTTAGTGTCTTTCTTTAAGATGTTGCATGGGATTCTAATATTGATCAGTGTTATGACTGATTTAGTTTACTTTGGGATTCTTCACAATTGAATAAAAACTCATGACCCTTTATTGATTCGGTACTGCTTGGACCTTATTTATCAAAAAAAATAATAATAAATAAAATAAAATAAAAAACTCTTCCTACAGCATAGAATTATGTTCATACAAGAGTAGCAGGATATAATGAATAAAACAATTTACCATGCAAAAAATACCACAGATTGCATTTTAAATTCGTAAGCCTACCCAGCATTTCATCTTAAGTGCGTACAAATTTACCTTTTGTTGTTTCATCTACTGAATGGGCGAATAAATCGAACTTCTATGTTACAATCAATTGCCAATACTCTTTTCTAAACATTCTAGAATGTAAAGAACTAAGAATTTAACAAATCTAAATTTTCGGTTAAGACATATGCAATAAGTAATAAAAATGTAAAATAGAGATTAGCAAATAGATATTTTGATGTTTACAATTTTTTTTTTCATTTTTAACATCTTCGACCTATACTAATATTCTCGGTAGCCCAAGAACTTGAATTTAATCCATATCTTGGTAGCCCAAGAACATATACTAACATTCTCAGTAGCCCAAGAACATTCTCTATATCCATTTTTTTTTCAATTTTAACATCATCAACTTATACTAACATTCTCGGTAGCCTAAGAACTTAAATTTAATCGATATTTTGGGACTAGCTTCATTTTTCTTGTAATATCTTATGAGGGTATCACCAGGTTAAAAACATGTGGTCAAATCCTAACGAACCTTAAAGTCCTTCGAGAAAGTCGAGTCAAGCATGAATCATGGAAGATCCCTAGAATATAGGAATGATTGTTAATACACATATTTGTTATACTCTCACTTTCTTTTTTCGATACTTAAGCTCTTTTACACTGATAACTGGATCAACTACTACTTCTAATCTCTTTTTTATTAATATAAGTTATAAGGCAGGTGATTTCATCACCTCCCGATGTTTTATGCCGGATATCCAAAAGCATTAAGACTTTCCTCGTATATTATAGTGTTCTTGAACTTAATTTTATTTATTATTCATGATTTGATCCATTTATACATTTATAAACTTTTTTACAAACTTATATTCAATTTTAGTGTTGCATGTTTCGTCACAACCTCAAGATACTCTATGGTATAGTGATTCTATTTGAAGATATTAAGATTTATTCTCTAAATTCACTTGTTTCATATTTCTAACACTATTTTCATGCCTTTTATTTCAAATACACATATTTATATATCGAAACAAATTAATTTTATCAAACTATTTTCTGAATATCATTATTTTCTTCCCACGATCTTGGGCACTACGAAGATCTTCAACATATTTCAAGATCTTAAACACTTTAAGCTTAAACATTTTATACTAAACATCACCCTGGCACCAACCGTGGGACAAGTACTAAACATCAACTTGGCACATTTTTTACTAGTTTGGTTACGAAATTAGCTTTTGATTTTTTTCCCAAAACAACTTGGCACCATCCGTGGGACAAGTAGTGTTACTATTTTTTTTCTTGAGATAATTCAAAATGTTTTTTCTTGTTAGATTTCAAACAATTACACCTTTTTACACTAAAAATGTCTACTTTACCGAAATCCACTTCTAGCACTATCCCATCGAATTTTGTTGTTTAAAACATACCACAACCTCCTGCCATCAATCCACAAGATGTTGTTCGAAATAAAGGAGAGACTGACTTCAGATTCGAGAAGGCCTATGGAAACTACACCAACTCTGTTTTCGTTCATGCAGCCTATGATCCTAAACTTTGAAACAAATGCATCTACGGAACGCCAGGCCAGGACTTCATATCAAGACAGACGCTTATCTTCACTTATGGTGTAACGCCTCGAAAAAAATTGTTTTTAAAATAATAAACCATATAAAGGAGTTGTTCCACAATGAATCAAAGGGAATGTTTCATTTAAACATCAGGGTAAAAATCACAAGTAGTAAAAGCAGAAAAACTCTATGCAATGTTTTGCAGTCACATCGGACCCTTCCCTTTCCAACCGAAAGTACCTGAAACCATAAACATAAAACTGTTAGCACAAAGCTTAATGAGTTCTCCAAATTACCCATACCTTACATACATATCAACTTGAAACTAAATGGATTTATTTCACCCCACATGTCTATTTCACCACTTAGTCTATTTCAAATCAATCCATATTTTTCAACCGAATGGGTCTATTTCACCCTACAAGTCTATTTCACCCACGAGTTTATTTCAACTTAATCGGTATTTTTCAACCGAAAGCGTCTATTTCACCCCTCATACGTAAGCATACATTCATATCAACATGAGTCACAAAGACAACAAGCACATAACGACATATCAACAAGTGTCATAAAGACAACTATCGTCCTACAAACTTAATCCAGTAGGTTGGCATTGGTGCCTTCGACCTATGAGTAAAGTGAAGAGACTCACCTCTCAAACGATACTAAGATGTTACTGCTCTCACTTCTATAAATATTGATTCTATACACCAGATATACCGTTACACATGGTAAGCCCATAGTGATGAGAATATTATTCTATTAGATTGATAGATTTAGCAGATAAAAAATAATGATAACAAGAATGGAAAACAATAAACGCAATAATGAATCAAACGAGTGTCAAATGATTAATATGCACTATCTCAGAAGAATTCAATGTGAATTGCTACTTAGAGATAGGCTAGAGTTACAATACTTGAGAAACAAAATAAAGATCTAGAAGCGTTAATGATATAATGCATGCATGCACTATATATACCCTAAGACAGAAAACATGGTTAGACAGTCCCAAACCGAGAGTACATAATGGACCGAACTATCAAGGCCCAGTGGCGCAACTCCTGTATGATGGCAAGCAAAGTTTGAAGAAAGTTAATGTACCACCGAAGCATATCCTAGAATAACTTCTTGTCTATATCACTCATCTGATCACACCGGTAAATGATTTCAAGAATACGCTCCAAGGACGCGGTGGAGAATAGGTGTTTGTCTGCAAGAGCGAACATATATTTTTGAGCTTCGCCCCTGGTGAAAAAAACGGTGTGAAACTGTGAATCGATCTTCCCTTTTATCATCACACACATGTCGCTTGATTTCCCGATCGGATTACAATGGGCTTCTTTGTAATGGCACATGCGACTTCTTGATCCATTTTCGCAAATTTAAGAATATAGCATACCAGCATTCACTTGATATGGTCAATGATAGACCCATATTCTTGTTGATTGGTCAGTAAAATATTGTTCAAAAGGATCCAATCGTGAGGATTCAAGTTTGGTAGATCAGCAAAAGAGATCATAAGGACCGAACCTTCAGATCCTCGAGTCACCTTGAACTTGACGTTGATGAACTTTCCTGTTGAAGTAGGTTTCAACACCTTGAAAGTAGTGATCTTCTGATTACTCCACGTCAGGTATTGCGGTTGAGAGAACGAAAGATAATGTTTGATCAAATCTCGATCAACCTTTGGATCAGGGGAAGGAATGGCAATTGTTGGTTCCAAACAGTGAAAATTAAATGCCTTTCGTGTGATTAGCATGTCAAACTGAGCATCCTTGGAGTTTTCAAGACCAAAGTATAGGACTGGTTCAAGCCAGTGTGTGCTTGGAGAGTCGATCGCCTCTTTCAGAAGTATTTCCAATGTCCATAGAGGGAATAAGTATTTCCAATGTCGAAGACATCGTTTGATTCTTTTATTTTCTTCTCCTTTTCGATTTCTTCATTCTCCTTGGAAAGCTTTTCATCAAGCTCTCGATCATTGTGCTTGATTTTGCGATCTTCGATTTTTGAAGCTTTTTCTTCTATATTTTCAAGCAAATCTTTTGTTTCATCCTCATCATCATCACCAATTATCCTCTTACCTTTGTCCTTCATACTGCCCAAAGCATCCTTACCCTTCGGTACAGCAGTGACTATTGGTTGTTGAATAGGTTTACTTGAAGGGGGTGGTTGAGATTGACCTTGACCAACATTATCTCCCCCTTGTTTCGGAAGGACCATATGTTCCGGAACACCTTCAATCCTGCTCAAAATGTCCAGAGAAGGTCTCAATTTCTGAGCAAGGTGGCGTCGAACCGTAATAGTAAGAGAGGAGTCATGAGCTTCAAGAAGATGCAAAAGAATAGAATGCACGTCACCGGTGCTGCTTTTGATGATAGCCCTCTCGATCTTGAGATTAGCATTCTCCTTTCGGACCTGGGTGAGTTGCAGAGCTTAAGTTTTGACCTATGTAGTTTTGAGAGACAACTCATCCATGACCTTATTTTCCATGGCGAGATCATTTTGCAGTTTTTCAAGACGAGAGGAGATAGATGATAGAAGAACATCCTGATCAGGTTTGAGAGAAGCACACACCACCTAAAATTTTTGTTGCTCCCCTTGAAATGACTTGGAAAGAGAGGCAATAGTAGAATTGACTTTGTTGGCATTGGACTCAAAAGCTCCCTTAAGAGAGTCCAGAAAAATCTTGGCATCGTCAATCACATGGGCCACCTTTGCAGATGCATTCTTGCAAGATAAAGTAGAGGCATCCACAGCCCTGGTTGCCGTCTGGATAGACTCATCATGCTTTTTAATTGAAGTTTCAATTAGGGCTTTAATAACAACATCAGAGTAAGAAGATGTTGAGGAACTGGAAGATGAAGCGAGCAACCTGTTAAGCTTCTCATTGAGATCCTTTAAGCGTCGCTTGGTGATGGGAGCATCTTCATCATCATCGCTAAGAACACAATATGGGCTATAATAAACATAGTCAAACTTCATTTCGGCTCCGCCAAGAACTGTATCATATTCGGTTGAGGAAGGTGGGGATAAAGGTTTTGAAGTAACAGGGATTTCGAGACCTTCAGTAGCCGCCCCTGTATCAGATATGTTGACAACAACCAGAGGTTCGGTTGTAGTAGTGGTGGTTGTTGCTTGTGTGATGATAGGAGGTGGAATAGGAGTAGTTGAAGTTGTTGTTGTAGTTGAAGTAGGTTGAGAAGTAACAACTGAGGGAAGAGGAGCAATTGAAATAGGCACTGTAATAGGAGATGGAGAAGGAGGAGGATTTAGAATAGAG